AACTGGATTCTGCCTCACCTTGACACTGGGAGCCACTAGATGGATCTAGCCCATGGCTGCTCTGAGTTCTGAGTTCAGTTGGCCCCTCTTCAAGATGGCTACCAGGGCCGGGGATTTAGCTCAGTGGTTTCACCGCCTGCTGCACAAGCGCAAGGACCCGAGTTTGATCCCCGGTACCAAAAAAAAAAAGAAAAGATGGCTACCAGCCAATCACCTTCTCCTGGGGGACGTCTGAACCCAAATAACTCACCAGCCACTGCAGTCAGCTGCATCCACTGGTGCTTTTCTCCGTAGAGCCCTCTGGGGTTCACCAATAGTCACTGTGTGTCTGCAGGTTCAAGCTGGCCCCTCTCCCACGAAGAGAGTGGGAGAAGTGCTGCTTGGCCCTGCCTTCTTCTATGTTGAGTATCTTCATTCGCTCTCCCCATGGTCTTCAGTTCTCGCTTCAGATCCTTGCTAGGTCACGGGGACCAACTTCCTCCATTCCTTTCCTCATGCTGATATATTCCATCTGGACACCAAATCTCAGAGAGGTTGTTTCTCTGCTGTTCACCTCTCTACCATCTTCCTGGAAGTCTCAATTTATTATTTTAATGTAAAGTCCTTCTGTACCATTTTCTTTAAGGTTTTTATCATGAATGGTTGTTGGACTTTGTTACAGGTTTTTTCTCCAGGTATTGAAATGATCATGTGATTTTTATCTTTTTGTTTATGTGATGTATTACATCTGTTGATTTACCTGTGCTCAACCATGGTTGCATCCCTAGGAGAAACTAAACTGTTCATAATGTATGATCTTTTTAATGATTTGTCATATGAGATTTAAGCGTGTATGTTTATGAAGAAAATTGGTGCATAGTTTTCTTTTTTTGTATCAAGGTAATGCTACCTTCAAGGAATTAATTTGGCACAGTTCCTTCTTTCAATTTCATGCAAGAGTTTGAGGGGTATTGACATAAATTCTTCTCATAAGTTCTTTTTTTTTTTGGTACTGGGGATCGAACTCGGGTCCTTGCACTTGTGAAACAGGCAGCAAAACCACTGAGCTAAATCCCCAGCCCTCATAAGTTCTTATTAAGTAAAATTTAGCAGTATATCCATCAGCTCCGGGGTTTTTCTTAGTTGTTAAGTCTTTTGTCACTGCCTCAATTTCATTATCTATTATTGGACTATACAGGGTTTTTATATCTTCTTGATTCTGTTTTGGTAATTTATGTGTCTGGAATTTTATACATTTCTTCTAGATTTTCCAGCTTACTGGAATACAGTGTATTTTCGGGTTTGTTTGTTTTTGTTTTTGGTACCAGGGATTGAACTCGGTACCTTCTGCTTGGGAGGCAGGCAGCGAAACCACTGAGCTAAATCCCCAGGCCAATACAATGTATTTTCAAAGTAGCTACTTACAGTCCTCTAGATTCTGGTGGTTTCCATCATGATTTCATATATTTCATTTCTAATTGCATTGATTTGGGTTTTTTCTTTTGTTACGTTTGGCTAAGGGTTTGTCTATTTTGTTCATTCAGAAAACCAACTGATTCATTGATTCTTTGTATTTTTTTAGTCTCAATTCATTGATCTCTGCTCAGATCTTTATCATTCCCTTTCCTGTACCAGTTTTTTTATTTGGATTGCTCTTATTGTTTTAGGACCTTGAGGTGCACCACCATTACATTAGTTGGGATCACCTCTTTTTTTTTTTCTTTTTGGTACTGAGGATCCAACTCGGGTCCTTGAGCTTGCGGGGCAGGCCGTAGCACCACTGAGCTAAATTGCTGACCTAAGATCACTTTTTTTTTAACGTGGCCATTCATAGATATATGCAGTACTTCCTTCTTAGGACCTCTTTCATTGTAGCTATAGGTTCTTTTGTGGTTTTGGTTTTTGTATTTTGAGACAGGGTCTCGCTGTGTAGTTCAGGCTGGCCTTGAACTCACTGTGTAGTCTAGGCTGGCCTCAAACTTGGGACAAACTTCCTGTGTCAGCCTCCCAAGAGCTAGGGATGCACTACCATGCCTGGTGTGTCTGTAGATTCTGTAGTGTGTTGTAGTGGCAGTATCATTTCATTCTAGGAATTTTAAGTCGATTTGTTTGAATCTGTGGTTCATCTGTGATATTTCTTTCTTGATTTATTTTTTGTCTAGTTGACCTATTTGTGACAGTGGGATATTAAAGTCCACAACTATGATTGTGTTGATGTTTATTTGGTCTTTGATGTCCAATAATATTTGCTTTATAAAGTTGAGTGTGCTGGCTTTTGGTGCATATATATTTACAGTTGTTACCTCTTCCTCTTGAATGTTCACTTTACCAGTGTGTAGTGACCTTCTTTGTCTCTTTTGATCAGTTTTGGCTTGAAGTCCATTTGTCTGAAAATAGGATACCTACTTTTCCTTGCTTTTGATCTTCCTGTTGAATGGAGTATTGTTTTCCATCATTTTATTTCCAGTCTATGTGTTTCTTTATTGATGACCTGTGTCTCTTCTATGCAACATACAGCTGGATTTTGTTTTGTGATCCGATCTGTATCTTTGATTAGAGTGTTAACGTGGTTCACATTCAGAGTTATCACTAAATGGTATTGACTGATTCCTGTCATTGCATTATTTTCTCTGTACCTGATTCCTTTTTTCTCATTTGCTTAACAGCTTAGTTTGCTTGATGCATTTATTCCTTTGGGCTTTTTGGTGCTGTTAACATCATTGTCTCGTCTAGGATTTCTTTTGAATACTTTTTGTGGTGCTGGTTTAGTGGTCATGCATTTCTTAAGGTGCTCTTTGTCATGAAAAGTCCTTATTTCTCTATCAGTTTTGAAAGATAGTTTTGCAGGATATAGCAATCTGAAAAGTGTTTTCTTTTAGGACTTGAAAATCTTTACTCCAAGCTCTTCTGGCCTTTAAGGTTTGTGTTAAGAAATCTGTTGTAATGCCAATAGGGTGGAGTTGGAGTTGGGATTGGGGTTAGGGCTAGAAACCTATCCAGGGATCCTTACTGCTGTGGCCCTGGCTCATTCCCTCAGGGTGTTGGATCCACTTCCCAGATGACAGGTTTCCTGGACTTGGGGTGTGTGGGGTACTGTGCTCCAGAGGTGGCCCACTGCCCTTTCTATTCGCCTGACTCTAGACTAGATCTGGCAGGGTTTTCCTTTAGATTGGCTCTCCTTATCTGGCTTTGTTTGCCCTCCCCTGTTTCTGAATTTCTGTGCTTTCTTTACATTCCTCTCTGCCTCTAGCTGGCCCTGAGGGACCTCTCCTTGAGGATTGCTTTATAAAAGACATATATCTGACTTAAATTTCTTTACTTTTATAGACTTATTCCGGTTTTCTTTTCCTTCTTGAGTCAGTTTTGGTCATCTGTGTTCTCTTAGAAATACTTTTCATTTAAGTTATCTAAAAAAGTAAGTCATTTCAATCCCCGGTACAAAAAAGAAAAAGGAAAAAAAAATGTAAGTCATAAAGCTGTTCTCTTAGTATTCTCTTCTGTTTTAGTGGATCTTTGCTGCTCTAACAAAATACCACAGATGAAAAATTTATTTCCTCACCATTCTGGAGATTAGGAAGTTCACACCCACAGCACTGGTATTTGGTGTCTGAGAGCCTTCTTGCTATGTCCTTAAATTGTGGGAGGGACAGACCAAGGGTGGAAGGCAAAAGGACAAAGGTTGAGAGCTGCTGCCCTGCAGCCAGTTTATAAGCCATTGATCCATTCATAGTGTAGAACCCTTGTGATTTAATCATTTCCCACAAAGGCCTACCTCTTACTTAATCCCACACCCAGACTTTGGAGAGGACACACATTGAAACCACAGCACCTTCTAACCTTTTAAATGTTTCTAAGGATAATAATATCCTATCAGTGACCCCTGAAGCAGGTTCTGATCTCTTGCTTGGCACTACAACACAAGGTGAGAAAAAAGACAGTTAAAGAGACAGATACAGGATGCCAGGATGACCATGCTTGACCAGTCTGAGGCTTAAACAAGCAAAAGCCCGGAAGTGTTACTATTTATTGGTGACATCATCATTAGATTGAGGTAAAGGGGCTATGTGGAGTTGCCATGGACACGTTGCTGATGGAGGCAAGGCATGTAAAGGAAAAGGCTAAGCATTCTTGAATTAGGAACAGAACAGACAAAATATAGGTTGTGATTAATAGTGAACCTTATCTTTATAGTAAAGAAGGTTTTAACTCTGGGAATGGAATTTGGGTGGGAGTCACTCTGACCTCAGCACATAGGCTTTGGCCTGACTCACTTCTATAAACAAGCCAAATGCAGGGTTAACTCTTTACAGCCTGCACTGCTTACAGCCTGCTTTGGGTATAATCAATGAGGCAGTCTCCCACAATGTCTCATTTCATTCTTGATTCTGTAAATTTGTCTATCCTTGATCAGTCTAATTAAATATTTCTATATCTTTTTGTTTAATTGATTTTTTCTCTTTTTTTAATTTTCTATTTCACTGATTCCTGCTTTAATCTTTATTATTTCCTTTCTTTGCCTTGTTTTGAGTTTAGTTTTTTCCCATTGTTCTAGTTTTTACTGTGGAATTTCATATTATTGATTTGAGATCTTACTTTCAGAGATAAGTGTTAACTGCTGTAAATTTCCTCCTAAGCAATGCTTTAGCCTCATCCCATAAATATATTTTTTTTTTGGTACCAGGGATTGAACTTGGGTCCTTGCGCTTGTGCAGCAGGCTGCAAAACCACTGAGCTAAATCCCCGGCCCTCATCCCATAAATTTTAATATGTTGTATGTTTGTTTGATACAAACTAAAAGATTTTCTATTTTTCCTGTGGATTTTCTTTTACCCATGGATTATTTTCATACACTGAAGATGCACAAATACACACTTTCTTTTGGTCTGTTACCAAAGAATTGAAGTCTGGTAAAGAGCAAATTAAAAGGGAAAACGCTAGCCATTTAGTACTCTTTTTCCTCTTAATTGTTTTAACTGAAAATATTTCCTCTAACTTTATATTTTTTCTCTCATTTTACCTAGGGTACACTGACAATGCTAAATGGAGATTACATTGAAGGGTATTTTAGTGGAGAATGGGGATCTGGGATAAAAATCACTGGAACCTATTTCAAGCCCAGTCTGTATGACAGTGATAAAGACAGACCCAAAATTCTGTGAGTAACTGGTGTAATGCTGGATTAATTATTGAATATTTTGGATTGTCTTTGCTTTCATCAAAACTGGTTAATATTGTACTAGCAAAATCAAGATGTTTTTTGTTTTTTTGTTTTCCTGAGACAGAGTCTCGCAATGTATTTCAGGCTGGCCTCGAACTCACAGCAATCCTCCTGCCTCACCTGCCTGAATGCTGGGGTTACAGGCATGCACCACCATGCCCATCTGCAAAATCAAGTTTTTAAAGTTTTCTTTTTTGTAAACAAGGTGTAATCCCTGAATTATCGAGTGACACTGGTCTTCATAACTAAATCAATGGTCTTGGCTTAAATTATAAGCCTTAATGATAAATGTTTAAAATAAAAGTCACGGAGGAGTCCCACTGTTACTAGTACAGGTGTCCAGGTTGGCTAACAGTATTTCCCCCCTTTTAACAGGAATCAATTTTACAAATCAGTTCCGTGGAAATGGAGGAGGCAGAAGAGTCAATTCTGTTGTGCTTTGTGCTTAACAATCCATATACTTTAGTGTCTAATAAACAATAGCCAAAATTCATCCCTTCCAAATTTTCATTCCATGTTTTAAAAATAGATCTATTTAAATCAATTTAGGCGGGCCCGGGATTCCAGCTCAATATTACCACACCTGCCTTGCAAGCACAAGGTCCTGAGTTCGATCTCTTGTACCAAAAAAACCCAATAAATCAACTTAGGCAGTGTGGGCCACAGAAGTTTTCTCAGTTATAAATCAGAAAGTTTGCGTTGTTTGGAACAGTTTTGCACAGAGGTGATTCATAAAGGTTGGTGTGGCTCTATTAGCAGGAAGCTAGGAAACCTGGCGGTGGCAGCTGATGAGAAGTGGAAAGCAGTGTTTGATGAATGTTGGCACCAGCTGGGCTGTGAGAGTCCAGGCCAGGGCGACGTCTGGAAAGCCTGGGACAACATCGCTGTGGCCCTGACCACCAGTCGGCGCCAGCACAGAGACAGGTGGGTGATGCTTGCTGGCACGGGGCTGAACATGTTAGGAAAATGAAGTTTAAGACCAGTAAGTGGTCGAGACTCACTACATTTTATTGAAAAATATAATTTAATTTAAAAGTTAATAGTGTACTTCTCTTTCTGGGTAAGATGGATTAAAGCACACCTCCCTTATCTTCTTTTGGATCTAACTGTTAAACCTGGATAGCATGGACAGCTGTTTGAGAACTCTGGAGAGTAACATGTGGAGTGAGCCAGCACACCTGAATTCAGTGCCGAGTTACTGGTGTTTTTCTCTCTTGTTCTTCAGTCTGCATTCAGTGGAGTCTGGGATGTGGAAGTAAGCACTGCAGTGCAGACAGAGATCTGGAAAAAACCCTCTGGTTCCCGCTGAGGGAGTGAGACAGGACTCCTTAGGCTCTGGGTAGAGACAGCATCAGGCTTCCTTCCTCTCCTCTCTCCCTTCTCACGTGCCCTTGCCTCCAGGTTCTTCTGCAGCAGATGCGGTGATGGGAGCCGGGTGAGCAACCATGGAAGGGACTTGCAGGAGCCGCAACTCCGCAGGAGTGGAGCCGCTGTCTGCTGTTGTGGAGTCTCAGGTCCAGTAGGCAAGGCTAAGCCTGTTGATTGGCAGCTTCAGACTATCTTCCCAGCTGTTGGCCCTGAATGTGGCACATTCACAGAAGTGGATAGTTTCTGGCTAGACAACCTGAAAGAGAAGTTCTGAGAACCTGAAAATACCCAAGGGGTTATGGAAAGAGAGCTCTGGAAACAGCCTCATGAAGTTGTTTGTGAACTCCTGGGCTCACCACACATTTGTGGCTTTGGTCTGAGTAATACACCAAAGACTTTTAAGAGCCACAGTGGTGGATAGACCTGCACTCAGGCCCAGGGTAACTTTCTGCTCACTGCCAGCCCAGACCCACATGAGACTGCAAAGGCTTTGAACTGATATTGGAACCACAACCCTCAGAAGACTGAAGCAAAAATTCCAGCTGTTTTAAGGGTTTTCACGATCTCCACATTCAGTGATTTGCTAGGAGAATTCTGAAGACTCAAAATACAGACATACTCACGAGTAAGATCGCAACACCACATTCGGGGTAGCAGCCATATAAGAGGAGGAAGACACCTCTGTAAGTGTCCCACACCCTGTCCTTTCTGTGAGGGGTCACACAGAACACACTTCCTGGTGGTGCAACACAGCGGCATGTGTACAGCATTGCTCTCCAGGACACCACATTGGAGACTCAGGACCTGCGGTTTTTACTGAGGTCCCCCACGTTGGCATGCCTCACCAGGCAACCACCAGACTTGCTCAGTAGTTCCAGAAGGAAAGCTGTGTTCACTGTAAATCACATGGTTGATACAGTCCACAGAGAGCAGAATCCCTTATCAGTTAGGGAAGGTTTCACATCAACATAGGGAACTTGGAGCAAGCTTAGTTCCCAGGCTCCCTCTGAGGACCAACTTAAAAGCAAGTCCTTCTGAAGATAACAGTTCAGGCCTACTGTTTACTTTCATACATGTGAGCACTCTCCGTGGGATATGAACAAGACCCAGAGTAACCAGGAAAATCTCAGCCTGGGGAGACAATCAGCAGACATTGGTGATGTGATGACGTAGATGTTGGAGTTACCTGACAACTTCAAAGTAGCTCTTATAAAAGTGATCAAATGAGCAACCACAGACATCTTTGAAACAAATACTAAAATGAAAGTATCAATACTGGATGTGGTGGCACACATCTGTGATCCCAGCTACTCTGAAGGCTGAGACAAGAGGATCACAAATTGGAGGCCAGCTTGGGAAATTTAAGACACTATGTAAACATAAAATTTTTTAAAAGGCTGGGAAAATCCAGGAGTGGTGGCTCACACCTGTACTCTCAGCACCCAGGAACCTGAGGCAGGATTATTGCCAGGAGTTCAAGACCAGCCTGGGCTGAGTTCAAGGCTAGTCTGTACTACATAGCAAGACCCTGTCTCAACGCCCCCCCCCCCACAAAAAAAGGTTGGGGATACAGATTGGTAGTATAGTACTTGCCTAAGCCTGCGTGAGTCCTTCTGTTCATTGCCCAGTACCAGGGGGAAAAGTATCACTAAAGAAATGGGAGACATAAAGAAGAACCAACCAGAGTTTTAGAGTTGAAAAACGACAATAACCAAAATGACTGACCATGTGAACTCAGTAACAGAATAGAGATGGCAGTGGAAGAATCAGTGAACTTGAAAATAGATTTGTAGGAATCATCCACTCTGAACAACAGGATGGAAAAATGGGGAAAACAGTATGAACAGAGCCTCGAGACCTGTAGGTTTAAACTGTCCTTTGAATTCTCAAAGAAGAGGGGGAAGAATGTGGGGTAGAAATTTGTTGAAAACTTACCATATTTGGTGAAAAATACAAATCTGTAGATTCGAGAAGCTGAACAAATCCCATCCTGGATTGAGGCGGAAATACACATATACAGAAGTGTCCTATTCAGACTCAAAAACCTTGAAAGCACCGTGAGGAAGCAGTTCAGATGGCTGCCTGCAGATTCCCATCAGAATCTTTGGAGGCCAGAGTGGCACAGTGTTTTTGAAATGCAAAAAGTTATAGATAACACTTCTCATTGCTTTCTATTTCTCCTTTTTCTTCTCTTCTCTTTTCTTTTCTCCTGTTTTTTCCATCTGCCTTCAGATTTCCTTATTCAACTTGACCAATAGCTCCCATAAACACTGCCTAACATTTGGACCTAAAGCATGTTCTACTTTTTGTAGTAAAACAATTAACTATTTTTAGTCTAATTCTAGGTCTTTTTAAAAAAAAATTATTTTTATTTATTTATTTTTTGAGACAGGGTCTCACTATGTTGTCCAGGCTGGCCTCAAACTCACAGCAATCCTCCTGCCTCAGCCTCAGCTGGCATGCTCTACCACACCCGGCCTATGTCATTTTTTAAAGCTAATCCTTTATTGTTAAAATATCAGCTTATTTTGATCTGTGTTTGCAACTATATGCACTTGATTTTAAAATTAGTTTTATGGCAATTTTCATTTACAAATATTGGTTGCTTTCTAATACTTGAGAATTAAAGAAGTTTCAGCAAGTGTCCATTTATTCAGCTTACAGATGTATGTTCTAAATGAGTAAATGGTCTAGTTTCTTGAAATTGTATAAATCAGTTTTCAAGTATATAAGCACAATATAGATATATAGAAATTAAATTTCAGAGATTTGAAAAGTATTTCAGGAAATTGTCTTGGTAGTCTCACAAATAGTAATTGTTATTCTGCTAGAGAGATTAGTCTAGATTCTGTCTGATTGCATGCCCCCAAATATTGGGTTTTAAAATAAACCACAGTATCTCCCCTTGCTATTTCTGGGTGTATGTGTTTTAAGTAATTATATGCGGGGAACTGGGGTTTTTATTCTCTAGAGATAAGTAGGAATTGATCATACTCTTTCATTCTCGAGCTTCATGATTGTTGCCTGCTGGTGTAGACCTTGAGACTTTAACCTTGGTTAACTATTACTAGGTGTTCTCGAGAATTGAGAGCGAATGGGCTTTTACATAAAACCATGCTGCTACCACAAAGATCTCTTTGTGATTATCAATCTGGTAATGACTGTGTACTCTTCTCAGTTTCTAAAATTTGACTGCTGATCTGTGACTTGTCTTGGCCTCTGTCGGGGCTTCTCTTTGCCCCCGTGTGCTTGTTTGCCTCACTGGGGTGTCCACATTATCTCCTTGCGTCCTGAGCTCATTTGCATTTCTTCATTTGCCCTTTTGATTTATTTTCCTTAGCTCCATCCTCCTTTTTACTCCATCAGCCTCTCTTAACAGGTTTATTGCCAGTTTCTCTTCATGCTAATGCCATGGATTTCTCAACACCATGATAGATTGGAGCAAAATCTTCATTAATTTATTGTAGGTCGTATGAAACAGTGTTAAATGCTGTTTTGAGTAAATGGTACGTAAACATGGTACTTAAGGGCTGGGGATTTAGCTCAGTGGTTTCGCCGCTTGCTGTGCAAGCACAAGGACCCGAGTTTGATCCCCAGTACCAAAAAAAAAACAAAAACATGGTACTTAATAGCAGGTACCACTTATGAGCTCATTTAGGCCCAAAACTATGCTGGTTGCTTCACTTCATCCATATTTTGTGACCATGTTCCATGTGCACATTTACAAGATCTTGCTTCCTTGATATGAAATACGTAATAGACTTTCCTTTCCCTTTTTATAGTCCAGAAATATTAAGTCGTTCACAGACTCAGACACTAGAGAGTTTGGAATTCATTCCACAGCATGTTGGTGCCTTTTCTGTGGAGAAGTACGATGACATCAAGAAGTATTTAATAAAGGTAAACTGGAATATCGAAGTGACATTGGTTTTGTGAATTAGTGATGCAGCTACAACATTATATCACTCAAATGTTACCTAATCCTGGTTTTCTTTTCTTTTTTTTTTTTTTTGGGGGGACCAGGGATCGAACTCGGGTCCTTGTGCTTGCAAGGCAAGCGACAGAACCACTGAGCTAAATCCCCGGCCTGGTTTTATTTTCTAATTGTTTCTTTTGCTAGTTCTCTAAGATCAAACTTCTATATGAAGATTTCCCATTATTAGAATGGAACTTAAGTTTAAGAAGGTATTCAGGAGTTTTTCTGTTTGTTCTTTTAGGGTTTTGTTTGTTGTTTTTGTTTTCAAGCAGTGCAGTGCAGGCTGACAGGAACTCATTATGTAGCCAAGGCTGGCCAAGAACTTAACAGCAATCCTCCTGCCTCAGCCTCCCGAGTAGATTACAGGCATCCATCACCGTGCCCCAGCCTAACCAAGGAGTTCTTAAGAACCAAGATTAGAGTGTAAAGTGGCTTTTTGTTAATAACATTAGCAAATAGGTTGTCTAAGAAAAGCATGCTGGCCTCCCCCTTGGAATGCTGTCTGCTTGCTTCTCACTCCCGTAAGATGAGCTACAGTCTAAAGTAGGACATGCACTGGTAGAAGATACAAGAGAGTACTAAGAAATCAAGGAGACAGAAGCATGACTATTTCAGAACATAATCAACAGTTAATAGTTGCTTTTCTCTAAGGTAACATTTCAAATTTTTTGAAGTTTATAATGCATTACTTTTGTTTAATGGTATTCCACATCAGTACTTCCAAAGCCATTTTCTCAAGGTGTTGAACGGATTCTCTGATTAAGCATATTAGGGACTCCAGTAACCACTCTTTGCTCTGTAGTTCTGTGGGCTCAGCTCTTTCAGGTTCCACATATGATTGGGATCATGCAGTGTTTGTCTTTCTGTGCCTGACTTAATTCTCTTAATATTATGATCTTTAGATCCATTCATGTGCTGCCAATGACAGAATTTTATCATTTTTATGACCAAATGGTTTTCCATTGTGAAAGAATAAATGATGGTGTTCTGTTACTCACAGGGTGATCATGGTTAACAATATTATATCATTATTGAATATTCTTATCAAAAAGAAATGATAAATATTTGAAATGATGGAATAACCTAGCTGTCCTAAGTTGATACACATTGTATAGATGTACCAAAATATCACACAAAACCCCATTAAAATGTGTAATAATTATCTGTCAATTAAAAAGAAAAAATAAGGAATTCCAGCTTTTTGGCTTTTTGAGACATGATCTCACTGTGTATTTCAGGCTGGCCTTGAACTTACTATGTAGCCCATGCTGGCCTCCAGCTCCTGTCTCAGCCTTCTTAGTACTGGATTGCAGGCGACCCCTACATCACCTGGTTTAGGAATTCCATCTCTGTACTGTATTTGTGCACGCTCATTACTTTGAGAATTGTTTGTCATGTGCAGTTGTGTACTGACTCGTGTTGACTGGCTTCCTTGCCTCTTCCTGCGCAGGCCTGCGACACTCCCCTGCACCCGCTGGGCAGGCTTGTGGAGACTCTGGTCGCCGTGTACAGAATGACCTATGTGGGTGTGGGGGCCAGCCGCCGGCTGCTGCAGGAGGCTGTGAAGGAGATTAAATCCTATCTTAAGCGAATTTTCCGACTGGTGAGGTAAGAGGCCTTTTCATTGAAGACTGAAAGCTCTGAAACAATAGTGTGTATTAATGCTTGAGTATTTTCACCCTAAAGTAAAAACCACAGCTTTGTGTTTTGTTAAATACGATCTTCCTGCCTCAGCTTCATGCGCGCTGGCATTGCATACAAATGTGCACCGCCATGCCCAGCTGCACTTTTGTGAAGAATCTGAAGTGTTCCCCCTTTATGGTTTAAAAACAATCAAGAAAATGATTGTATGCTGCAGGTCCTTCAATAGATTAAATAATGAAAATGTTTCTAACTCACATTTATGCCATAAACAAAGAGAAACCATAGCCATTGTTACTTCCTTTATGCATTCTTACTCATAACTCTAATTTGCTGGGGAATATCTTTGTCTACTTTTGTTTTTGTTTTGAGACAGAGCCTCAGTCACTAAAGTGTGCAGGTTAGGCTTGAATTTTCAGTTCCCTTGTCTCACCTTGCAAGTGCTGGTGTTACAGGCAGCCACCATGCCTGGCCCAGTTGTATTATTTTGATTTAATGTCTAGATAAAACTATGTCCCTGAAACCTAACTACCAGTATCAAGTTCTGACCCCAAGCCCTTTGGCAACAGCATCATGTACATTTATTTATTCAGCAAATACCTATTGAGCGCTTCCGTGTTAGCTGCCATCCTGATCTGAGGGGTTATCAGTGAACAAAGCAAGACAAACAAACAAGTAAAAAGAACTGCTATCTTGGAAATTACATTCTAGAGGGGAGATAGAGTAACCAAGGGAAATACAGTTTGTCAGTGGTTACCACTTTAGAGAAGAGTAAGGGTAGGATAGAGGATGGGGCTAGAGGGAAGGTGCTGCTGCCATGTAGGTCGGGCACATTTGAGCAAGGGCTTTGAAAGAGGCAGTAAATGAGCCATTGTCGGTCTTGGGAAAGCACATTCTAGACAGTAATATATATAAGGTCTTTTATTGGTTTTATGCCAACAAATAGATTAATACTGTGTTAGTTATATAAAAGTTTTGAATTGTCCCCAGAAACTTCCTTATCTTATTAGCCTCAAAATTGATAAAACATGTTTGGAAATGTTTCTGGTTTTGAGGGACCAAGTGTGTCCACTAAGTTCACTAGGCTGAGAGTGTTTCAGGTCTGCCATTAGCTAGATGTGTAGGATGAAGATAAGTTTCTTGCTCTTTTTTAGTTTTCCCAACTACAAAATAAGAGCAGAAGGAGGGGCAAGGTATAAATCTGCAAAAATAGAGATAATTGCAAGCTGCCTCTGAAAGGTAAAGATTTAACCCTGTAAAACTAAAGAGGATAGTAAGTAAGCATACCAGCATACCAGAAGTCAGAGATAAAATCTAGAACAAAACGGGTGTGGAGGTGGTTATAATTCAGCACCATGATCATTTTTTTGTTTTGTTTTGTTTATTTTTGATCATTTGAAAAATTAATGTTCAATAACTCAACTTTTTTTTTTTTTGGCAGTACCAGGGATCAAACTCGGGGTTAGGGTGCCACTGAGCTAAATCCCCAGCAGTAACTCAACTTGTTGACAACACTTTTAAAAATTTACATTAATTGAATTTTCCATAATTTAACCATCTTTTTTTTAACCAACTTTTTAAATATTGAACATTTAAATGGTTTTCACTGGTATTTATGTCTGAGGATAATGGTCTCTGCTCTAAGTTAGTATACTTTGACCTCAGATAAGATTTGCCAGTAAGAAATAGTGATCTTGCATAGATCAGAAGTCTTCATTCCTTGGTAACTTAACAGGTTTTTAGAAATATTATTTAGTAGCTGCACTTTTTTGTGCACATGTATGTGTGGTTTGTTTCGTTTTGTTTTTATTGTTTTTGAGTCAGCATCTTGCTGTGTAGCCCAGGCTGGCCTTGGACTCTTGGTCCTGCTGCCTCAGCCCCCCAGGTTACGGGACTATGGATGAGTGCCACTGTGCCGGCAGTGCCTACATTCATAATTCTATTCTGTAGGCAGCATCAGTTAAAGAATCTCAGGGAACTAAAATACTTACTTGATGATAAAGTTTAACTTCATAAGTCCTTAAATGGATTAATGAACGAAAATGTAATTTTAGTCTTTTGAGCCAATCTGGAAGTAGAATTGTACTGTTTTATATGTATTGTTTCTTAGGTTCTTATTTCCGGAGCTTCCTGAAGAGGGCAGCACAGTTCCTCTCTCTGCTCCTCTGCCGACTGAAAGGAAGTCATTTTGCACTGGGAAGTCAGACTCCAGATCTGAATCACCAGAGCCAGGGTAAATGGAGTTGGGCAAGAAGGCACGGAGAGGAAGTACGGGCCAGACGATGTTATCAAAGATCCCTGTGATAAGTGGTTTCTCTAGATCACAGTTTCCTGGTTTCTACCATGGTATGGCTGGATTAGGTGACCTCCAAGTTCCTCTGAGGTCTCAAGCTTTGTACCTTAGGAAGAGCAGCCATGGATAATTAGGGCACGAAGGTTGCCAAGCAAATTAAATCATGCAGACCGAGGGTAACCCCAGAGGAAATAGCCCCAAATTTGAAACAAATTCGAGTTACTGGGTAGAATTCACAGTTAGTGCAAGACCACACTCTGGAGCTCAGATAAGCTCCTTGTGCAGAGTAGTAGAAGCTTTAAAATTTTCCATCTGTACTTTGAATTTTAGAAGCTGAGCCTCAGCCTTTGACTCTATATGCAGTTTTAATACAAATGCGCCTGGGCTCTGGCTCCAATATTTTATAGGTGCATGGTAACAAGCTCTGGATTACTGTTGCCGGTGCTGCTGCCACGGCTGTACCCACCGCTCTTCATGCTGTATGCCCTGGAACATGACCGCGAGGAAGACATCTATTGGGAATGTGTGCTGCGGCTAAATAAGCAGCCAGATGTGGCTCTCTTGGGCTTTCTTGGAGTGCAGAGGTAAGTTGAGTAGTTACAAGCAGAACCAAGAGGCTTTAATTTTAAATTTATCAGCTTTATCAGGAATTTGATACTTAGTATGCACTTTTATTGACATGTGTGCATACAGATGACATGTAATTTATTTACTTATTTGCTTATCTTAATAAGCAAAAGTAATATTTAATCATCTCCATTTCTGCAAATATGGAAATGAGTGTGAGTATGAATCTGCTTATTCTTATATTGTCATAGAGAAACTAAGTATGACTTTTCTTGTCTGCTACTTTATACTTACTTAAAGCAAAATATGTTTTTATATCGCATTCCTTAGAAAAAATAATTCAGTCTTTGGCATTCTTCTTTCCCTTCTTGTCTTCCTTCTCCAGCTGCAATTTTTAATTTAAAATTCTAGAAGTGCCCTTTTCAAAATGAGATAAAACTGAGTGAACAAAAGATTTTAGACAATATTTGTTCCTGTCTGTAATGTGTGGGATAATTGAGTATAGAAACACAAATCCTTGAGAGATAGGTTAAATTAAAATTTAACCTATCTGTGCAAGTTATTTTTAGTAGGAAAATAGGGAACCCCCATATAGCTGTCAACTTTTTATGGAGATTTATCTGTTACAACAACAACTTCTATTAACAATTTATGGATTTCATTGTAGGAAATTCTGGCCAGTCACTTTGTCAATCCTTGGCGAAAGTAAAAAGGTATAGTAGATTTTTAGTTTCCTCAAAAAATGTTTTTCTTTGGTGTGAAGAATTAGATAGCAAAAAAATTTTCATTTTACTTTGGTAGAACCGTACTCAGACTTGCGCTAACGTCAGTATCCACCAGTGAACTACGTGGCCCTCAGCATCATTACTTTCATTGCTGCAAAATACAGCTTTCCTCTCTGACCCTCGTTCTCTTTTTGTAGATTTTGCCAACCACAAAAGATGCTTGTTTTGCCTCAGCAGTAGAATGTCTGCAACAGATCAGGTAATCTCTGATTCACTAACAGTTCAAACTCAAAGTAACGTTTTAGTCTATTGGGATATCAATGATATCTTGTTTTTACCTAAGCTCTTGCTGTGTCCTTGCACTCCCAATAGTGTCAGATACAGCTTGGAGATCAGAAAGTCTCTTTTGAGACATTTAGGTTAATTTTTACTTTAAAATGCCCTTGCATTTTCAAAAATAGTGTAGAACCTACCCAGTAATTTACTTATATACTCACAACTTTAGCCACATGGAAATTAACCTGTAATTGAAAAAAAATAGCATGTATTGGAATAAGATTCCAGATGGGTAAAAGGAAATGATGTGTGACTATGGATTCTTCCATGAGCACCATCAATATCTGGAGGTAGTTTTCCTTAAAGCACCATGGAGTGGCAGAGAGCTCCCTCCCGGGCACAGTATGTCTGATGTATCTGATATAAATTGGCACATGAAACTCAGGAGGGATTGTTGTAAAAAAATTAATAAGAAATGGCTTTGTTAAGAAAATTATATGATATCTTTTTATAATTTTTTTCACTTAGCACAACCTTTACCCCGTCAGACAAACTGAAGGTCATCCAGCAGACATTTGAGGAGATCTCCCAGAGTGTCCTGGCTTCACTCCGGGAAGACTTCCTGTGGTCCATGGATGACCTGTTCCCTGTGTTCTTGTATGTGGTGCTTCGGGCCAGGTACCCATCCTTTCAACTTTACTATCAGAGCCAGTATTTCAATGAGTCTGCTCTTTGCTTTCTCTGAACTGAAGAGAGGAATGTGTTCCTTTCACTCTAAGGAAGAAAACACTTCTGTTAACTCATCCCACTTTGGTAGTATCTTTTTATTTGAGCTGTACTTTCTCTTCCTATCAACATATTTGAAAGGCAGATGACTTATGAATAGAAAAAGCTTACCATCCTCTTTTCTTTGGGGCAGGATTAGGAATTTAGGCTCTGAGGTACACCTCATTGAAGATCTGATGGACCCTTATCTTCAACATGGGGAGCAGGGTATAATGTTTACTACCTTGAAGGTGGGTATAGGCATTATTTAATAATTGTTTAGCTTAAAACTGTCTTTCATTTGCCATATTATCAACCTGTCATTACTTTCATCTTTATAGAAACATTCAATATTAATAGTATCCACTATTTTTTTTTTTTTCCTACTGGGGATTGAACTCGGGTCCTTGCAGTTGCGCAGCAGGCAGCGGAACCACTGAGCTAAATCCCCGGCCTGTATCCACTATTAATATTCAAAACCATGATAATATATTCTTAAAAAGTACTATTTCAACAATTATTGAGAATGCTAAAGCAAATTATTCACTTGCCAGTGTTTATATATTGATTATTCAAACTGTTAAAAATGTTTACATTGGGCCAGGGATGTAACTCAGTGTTACCGTGTCTACCTGGGAAGTGCAAGGCCTGCAATTTCCAGTATGGGTGGGGGTGTTTACATTTATGTAGATTTCAGATGCTTTGTGGGTTAAATTACTCCAGAAAAGAAGCAGAAAGAATTCTTAATGTTCTAAAAAGTATCCAATGGTAGAGCTATTTAATGGAACTTAGATTCAAACACAGGAGGCGGTTCAATTCCATCTTTTTCCTTTCACTTGTATTTACTGTAACCAGCAGGTTACAAATAAGGCTCTTTGGAGCCCGGGATTTAGCTCAGTGGCTCTGCCGCCTGCTTCGCAAGTACAAGGACCTGAGTTTGATCCCCGCTACCAAAACAAAAAAACAAATAAGGCTCTTTGAACTGGATGCCTTCTAGGTATTGTTAGAAGTAATTTTCATTTCTCACATTTGTTTTTTTCTTGGATTTTGATAGAATCTCTCTAAAGTTTCTTGGAAGACAGAAAAGGCAGAAATACTTGTGAAAAGGAAGCAGAATAAGCCATTCTGCCAGTTAGGGAAATATTATAAAATCACAATAATTAAGATGCAATAGTATCTTACTGTCATAAGAGTAGATAGTACCTAAGTGGAAGGGATAATGGAAGCATCAAAAATGGAGAAAGGATGAATTATTTAATAAACAGTTAAACATAGTATTGGGTAGTTTATTAGCACCACCACACCCAGCACACCAGTAAATTTTCTATTTAAAAAAATTGCAAAAGGGAAGAAAATTAGGAAAACATATTGAGTAAAAATTACATTATTGTATTTATGTCACATGAAGAGTATCTCTAAACAGACCACAAAAGAAGCAACAGAGTAAATTTACATGTAGAAAAATGCTCAAATTCACTGAAAATCATAGTACTGCAGGTGTAAACAAGGTGTCATTTTATGCCTTCTAAATTGGCAAATGTGTTTTAAAACTATTCCGCATGCTGGTGGGAGTGAAGTGAAATCCCACATTGCTGATAATGAGGTAAATAGTGGCCACACTTTGCTATTGTACTATCCATTGCTGTAAGTTGCTGCTAACGTGGATACCAACAACTGCAGTTTGACTCAGTAGTCCTATTCTTGGGAATTCAAGAGTGGAAAAGATATATTACCTGGGTGTAATGTTCATTGCAGTATGACTTAACTTCTAAACCTAGGTACTTTCAGAATCACTGAGGATCCTTTTTTTTTTTGGCTACCGGGGATCGAACTCAGGACCTTGCACTTGCGAGGCAGGCACGGTGCCACTGAGCTAAATCCCCGGCCCTGAGGATGCTTTTTAACAAGTATATTCTTGGAAATTCTGACTTCTGGACCTGCTGGTTATAGTTGTTCTAGTGTGCCTTTAAATGCCAGTCACTGTTGGTGCATTGAGGTATTTCTGCATGGCAAAGAATATCATACAATTTGTAAAAAGTTTTTTGTTTAATATACAAAACTTTATATGAATTACACCAAGGCAAAAAGTAGCCATTGGATACGGGGACTGGACTAAACCAAATTTATTGGTACATCAGTCATTACTAAAGGATTTTCTTTAGATTCATGTGCATTGCTCTGTTTATGTAATTTATTTAAGTAAATTATAAATTGTTCTAAACTTTTCTTCAGGCATGTTACTACCAGATCCAACGTGAGAAGCTTAACTAGGCTGCATAACAGCTTGAAAACTGGATTATCTACTGCCATCTGGAGTCTGTTTGTGATGGTGAAAAAGGACAGTGTTGAAATGGGAAAGGGCTTTATGTAATTTCAGTTGTTATTTCTGAGCCTCACTAATAGTTAGAGCCCAGAGCCCAGAAAAAAACAGTTTTTTAAAAGGAAGATAGAAGACTAGGTAGAAATCATACTGGACCAGTCCTTGACCTACGTTAAATTCCAAGCTTCGTACTTGTGTTTGGAACAGGAGGATGTCCCTCCTGCAGTCAGGGGCATGTCAGCTACGTGACATTGCAAGAAAAGTTTCCCAGCACAGCATCTGCATTAAAGAGGCTGGTGAATGTGTCTGAGTTTCCGGATTGCCAGAATCCGTCTGCAGTTACCCAGATCCATTTGCAAGAAGCAGGCTGCACTTGAAACCCTAGCAGCCATGCTCTGCCTCCTGACCCTCCCAGTTGCATCATGCTTCTTTGCTGGGGGAGGACAAAGAGGAGTTTTTAAACTGCAGTTACAACTTTTTCTAAGCTTTTCCACTGAGTATTGAGGGACTGTCACATTCTGACCCAAAATGTAGACTGCATCCAGATAGTAGTCTTCTGCCTCCTAATTACAAAAAGCAGAGGAATTCTGATTTTGCTTTCCCCACTGAGCTACAGAGCAAGTACACTGGAACTCCACACTGACCCCAGGCCACTGTGGCCCTCAGCTGTCCATGTGCAGATGCTGCATGCTGAGACTGGGACACGCCGTTCCTCTGCAGCCTGAAGCCTGGGACGTGTGGAGACAGAACTGCATGGACCCTCATCCTAGTGTTCTTCTTCCCATACCTTGCACTGAAGCCACAGGTGGGAAGAAAAAGGAAATGACCTTTGGCTTCCCATCTCAAAAGTATTGTTCACCTCACAGTTGAGTGTTTTGCTCTTTTTAATATCCTGTTGTAAGTCGTTGGTTTACACTGCATCAGTAACACTAGCTGCTTGGGTCACAGGGGTGCTCTTCCTCTGCTCATCTCCCCACCGTGGTGCACACAGGAGCCCAAGCAATGTGAAGTGACCAAACAGATACTCATTGCTGTTGGAAAAGGATCGTGGTCTCTGCTCTTTATAATCAAGACAAATGTTTGTTAAATACTGTTTCAGAATGTTGGCCATAATGTACAGCAATTTTCCTAATAAAAGACATTCATCTTTATGAAGTTGTTATAGAAGAAATGACATTGGGCAGCCTAAAAAATCAAAGGAAACCCAGGCTCCCTTGGCCTCAGAGGACCCTCTGGAGTTTGAGAGACAGGGACTCACTATTAGCTTAGGCTGGCCTCAAACTGATGGCAATCCTCCTGCCTCAGCCTCCCAAGTTCTGAGATTACAGGTGTGCACAACCACACCCAGTGAGAGCTCTCTGTCTTTGATAATATAGGTCAGTAATTACAGTACCTTTGGTGGCAAAGAACAAGTTAACTTTTTTTTTTTTTTTGTACTGGGTGTTGAACTCAGGACCTTGCACTTGCCAAGCAGGTGCTGTACTGCTGAGCTACATCCCTGGCCCAACAAGTTAACTTTCTGATTCTAATAACCCAAGGATGAGAGTCTTAAAAGAAATCTATTATTTCTTTGAATAAAGGACATATTTTAAAAGGTGCTCATTTTCCTGTTTTTTATCTCATGAGCAGTTTCAGGGAAGGAAAGAAGGAGGATTTAAAATTCTAGTTAGAAACGTGAGGTATCAGTCATGCTCCCTGCGCTGTGTGTGAAAGGACCAACTGAACGAAAGGTCTGGGTTAAACAGTTTCCATTTCTATCGGGATTGTTTTGACTTTCTGAAAACACATGCGAATAGCATATTTGGCTGGCAAAGACAGATTTATTGAACATCTAGTTCCTTAAGAGAGATAATATGTGCAAACGAGCCCCCCCAAAAAAGCTTTGTCCATTCAAGATCAATGAACCCATCAAGAAATTCCCCAATGACAACAGCCATCTCCAGGCTAGAAGGACATGATGCAACCAGTCCTTTCACTGGAGTCTTAAAACTGTCCAGTTACTTTGGATTCTTCATTCTATATATTTATACTTTCCAGACAGAGTATTAAAATTATAAATTTTCATCTCAGGGAAAAGCCCTAAACCTCTAGGCCAGTGTCTGTAAGTAGAAATACCTAGCACTTGCTTACCAACTCAAGAAGATCTTTCACAAGTATGACAGCTGCTCCCAGCGCCTAGGAGTGGAATCTACCGCCTTTCTCCCCACCTACAACAAGGAGGAGCGAGATGTGCTCACTGTCAGACCTAAGACTCTAGCCTTTAACTTCCCTACTCCAGCTCCGGTGTTACGCTACCACAGCCAGAGACAACATTTTATAGCTAGGTTTAGAAATTTTCAAAGTTAAAAGTGAAAACTTAAAATTGTTTTTGGTAAAATATGCTGTACTCAGAATACTCATAAATGTGTAAATTCCAGGTTGTGTTTTCCTCTACAGTGGGTGGACGAAGAAAGCCATGTGTTTGAGTTACAAAGGACTGAAAACTTTTCACAGTTGGCATTTGGTCTTTTGTCAGTGAGCAGCACCGTTCCTCTTGGTCTTTATGTGAAACCTATTTCCAGATGCTCTTTCTGCTGACCATCCCTTATACAGTAATACAAATTTTTAATAAAGACAGTTGGCTTTTTTTCCTGTCTGCAAATTTCACGTTGTGGAGTCAACTGAATGGAAAATGTGTGTGTGTGTGGATGCATCTGTACTGAATAGGTACAGAGTTTTTTCCTTGTCATTATTCCTTATACAAGTGTGTACATTGTATTTTACAAGTCATCCAGAAGTGATCTAAAGTGGTTAAGGAGGATGTACATAGGTCCTGTGGACTGCTGTGCCATTTCAGCCTCGGGACTGAGCTTCCACAGACGTGGTGCTAGTCTCTGAGCATACAGAGTGCCGAGGCTGACTACATTCACAGCAGAGGCTTCACAGGCATGCTGGCACACACCTGTCATCCCAGCCCTCAGGAGGCTAAAGCAGGAGGATCCCCCGTGAGTTCAAGGCCAACCTAGGCTGCATAGTTCAAGCCCAGCCTGAACTACATGGCAAGGCCCTGTCTCCAAAAAAAAAAAAACGCTTCACAGGGTATTGACCAGAAAAAGCTGTTCCTAATGGGCCTTGTGATTCCTGGCAGAAGAGTCCCATTGTTTTCTCACCCGAATATAAGAAAATAAGGTTACTAGGTCAGTTTACTCCATGTACCTCCAGGTTTTCCTTCCATTAAAATAAAAATCCCATCTATTGTAGGGCATCTGTTATTCTGAAATAGTCAACAAAAAATACTAATGCACTATAATAATTCTATGTGCTTGAAGTGTGAGAAAATACTAGAGGAAGTTTGGAAATTATATAAATTAGGTGGGTCAATGCAAGGAACACTTGTGACAGGGAAGCTTCTGAGTAATTTAGTGATTAGGCTGGGTTAGGTCTGTGGATTATATCAAAGAGGATATGCAGGAATTTTATCTAGAGCAGTGAGGTGACTTTGGCAGCTAATAGCCCATGAGGATTTTCTACTCAGGCTTTTGTCTGGACAGGAGCAATGTTACAGTCTTGCAGGAAAGAAACTGATAAATCTGTTACAGAAGACATCATTATTGTCTAGCTTTTCTATACATTGTTAATTGTGAACAGTAGAACTCTAAAAGGGATTTCATAGGTGCTCAAATCACCTGGAGAATTTTATGATTGTGAAAGCAGGTTCTGCTTTGAGAAGCTATTGAAGTATGAAATTATGAGTGTTTTGGAGCTTGAGTAAAACAGCACATGTCCAGTCCTAATCAACAGCATTTGAATCAGAGGATGCCAACCATTTAGTATGGAGCAATTTTGACTTTTCAACTGCTTTTTCCAGCTTTGTCTCTTCAAAGCATTGTTTTGAAAAAAACAAGCATAATGCGAAAGGAGGCTGAAGCTTTGAATAGTAATCAGGATATTTTTTAGAGCTAATGGAAATATGACTTTTAAAGTAATGCTTAGGATGAAGGCCTTACAAGTCAGTAGTGACGGTGCAGTTTCTGGGTCAATGACAAGCACTGGCCATCCTTCCTCTTGATCAGCCCCAAATTGCATGCTCGTGGCATTGGCTTGTACACTTCATCAGGAATTCTCGTCCTCAAGATAGCAGAAACAGCCAAGTCTCAACTGACAAAGTTGGTGCAGCAGTCATGAGACTGAAAGACTCTTTCAGCACTTCAGGACTAACAAAGGAGAGCTGGTTTTACTGCTCTTCTGATTACCTCTTGAATGTTAGATTCCTCACCTAGAAAATGAAAATGTTATGTTTTACCATTCAGCTCCCTCTCCCTGGGGGTGAGGCCCCAAAGCCCCCCACCTGGGTATCCCAGCTCCCAGAGGCAGGGGTCAGCCTTTGTTGTTCACATCTCCCATTTTTTCTAACCCTTTCCCAACATCTCAAATACGAACTGCATGCTATGGTACAGACCCTTGCTGGTGAGGCTGCTACCTGAATGGCACAAAGGTCTCTGCTCCCCACACTCCACAGACATTTCACATGTGGAAGGGGACACCGAGCAAGTTGTGAGATAGAATTGGGAAGAATGATCAGCACTATGAATGAGGATGATGAATTGTAGCCATTTCTTACCTAGAGGGAGAAGATAATTTTCTGGAATTTCTATGAATTTTGTCTAAACTTGGACTGCAGTAACAATACTCTGGATTGAGTGGCTTAAACAACAGGAACTTTTCATAATTCTGGTATTTCCTGGGGTTGCTTTACATAAAAGTCACCTGCCTGGAGTCCTTGCTCTATGTCTGACCCTCAGAGACTGCAAACCAACCTACACGTGAATTTTTTTTTTTTTTTTGAGATAGGGTCTTGTGGTTCAGGCTGGCCTTAAACTCACTGTATTACAGGCTGGCCTCCAACTCATGGCAATTCTCCCTCAGCCTCCCAAGTGCTGAGATTACAAGCATGTGCCACCATGCCTGGCCATGTGATTTTTAAATATATTTACCGCCCCAGTAATAAAAAGGACAAGTTAAATAATGGACCATAAGTCATTGTATATTTCTCCCATCACTATGCCAGAAGATAGAATGAACCAGCACACACTTGAACCTATGCAAAAACCTATGCGAGTTGAAGCAGCTTTGAATAAAGGAATAGATAACCACCTGAAGTGGTGTGTTGTGATTTTCTCAGTACCACAAGGACCGTTGCTATTAATGACATGATTTTCTGAATTGGTGGACAACCTGGTAAAGCAGAACAAAGTAAGTTCACTTCACAGCTGTGGTACCATTCCATCAAATTCAGTGTGTGTTACAACTGCAAAAGTATTATATGTTTATAAAGAAAAGTTGGGTTCTGTCTGGGTTCAGATATCCTCCCCTTTCTCCTCCTCCATCGTGACAGTAATGAGACGTTTTAAAGTTCTCCAGACCAAGGGCATCTTCTGGGAAACATCTCTGAAGAGCAATGAGTATATTCCCTTTGCTGTGTGTCCCTAAGCCTTCCCCACTCTCCTGGTTAGAGTGTAGAACCGTCTGGAGCTCCAGCCACCACTAGGGAGCAGGTGGATGATAACATACCCTGCCCCACGGTGGTGGGCAGAAAGCTCAAGACGCTTGCTCCCCGAGGGTTTTCTCGGGCTGGGCTGCCCTACAAGTTCTACATTCTCTGGCTCCCAACTCTCACATGAGCAAGATTTAAATTTCTACTCTGTTAAGCCATTATTATGTTTGGATTTCTGTTTCTTTAAACTCACCTAATGCAATATAGTAAATAAAACATTAAGCATTTCAAATTAGTTGTTAAGGACTAGTGTTTAACGTGATAGGGATAAGAACCATGATCCTAGGATTTAGGAATGCTGTGAGGTTGGGCCAGAAAGGAAATCTAACAAAGAGATCATTACTACACTGTCTTTGAGTTCTGAGAGTAGATCTCAGCAGCAACCCATAACACATAGGTCTTCTAAACTGCAGTTTTGTAATTGTGGTCAGTTAGGTCTTCTGTGAAGAACTATAAGGTACAATATAGGTGATAGGCACCTGCCTGCAGTCAGGGCAGGAAAGCCCTTCCGAGCTCCGAATGATGGATAAGACTAGGTAAATAGGACAAAGAAATGTAATATCAGTTGCCACTTCTTCAAAGTTGGGAAAGCTTATGAAATAGTTTTCTCTCTCACACAGTAGGTAATGGGTAATTTGGAGAGTAAGAACCCAGGGCAAGACTCCCAGTGTGTAGCCCGGGGCCTGACTTGCCCAAGAAAGCCTGATGAAAACGTGTCCACTGGCTGGGAGCTGCATGGCCAGTGTGGCGGAGTGAGCTATGGGCTGTTCATTGATCTGTTTCCTAGTCCTGAATTCCCTTTGGAAGCCCAGGAAGTGAGGATGATACAGTCAGACAGGGGCAGACTTGCCAGACAAGGAGGACAGGAAGCTTTCCACCGCAGACAACCTGGGGAATGGTATGTATCGCCAGCGGGCCTTTTCTAGACCACAAAGACCTTCTGTCACTCCAAATATGCCTGGGCAAAAACTGAAGTAGATTTCCTGTGATCCCTACAAGGGAGGTGCACTGGCGAAGCCCGACCAACCTCCAATGCTGCTTGACAAAGTTCCAGCTGGGGGAAAAGGAGGGTGGAACACATCGTACCCTCATGTTTTATTTTTTCTTGCCCTAATGTTTACAATTGTTACTCTGGTCACAGGAATCATTGTATTTGTGACTAACAACATATTCTCCATGATGCAAATTGGCAATGTTGTATTGAAATCTGATCTGGCTCAAAAGTCCCAAATTCCTGTTTCTCTCAGTTCTATTGTCACACCCACTTCTAAAGAAACCCCTCCTAAAACTCCCTCTGTTTTCCTGACACTGTAACTCCTTTCTTCTATTGATGACTTTCTTTTTACTAAAAGGGTCTTATAAAGAGATTGAAAGGACAGATTTTAGATGTAAGACACAGTGGGAAATGGGAAATAGAAAAGTTAAGACAGATAAATACATTAAGGAGGCAAGTTACTCAGTTTTTCTCAAAGTACTGTAAACATTTCCTGCTCATGGACCATGAACCCAAATAACATTTAAGCAAGATGAATAGAGGTATAGAAAAAATAGAGAGCTAATAGCAAACTATATTAACCATTGTGCAGTTTCTCAAGGGCCAGCTGACGACCACAAGTTTGACATTTAATTAACTAAATCTTGCTTGTATCCCCGCTGATACAGAGATTTTGATTAAGTTACTTTCTGTTCTGCTTAGGTGTGGGTAAATAAGGGGACAATTGTAATTTTTAAATGTATTCATGATGTTCAATGAAATGAATCAGCTTAGGAAAAATATACTTTGTTTAGTAAAAAATAACCTTTATTTCTATAGAAATTGCTAAGGCAACCTAAAATGTAAACATGTTCTGCCCAATGCCTCCTAGCCATTGCTTAAAGATATAAAAATAAATCAGACCCTGAGACTTCTCAGAGGGAACCTGCACATTGCTTGCGAAGGTTCTTTTCTCGCTCGCCGGCCCGAGACCTCTCCCCTTCCTACCCTGCATCGACTGCAGCTGGTCTGTGGCAGTGCACGCTTCTGATTGCCCTGCTACAGTTAGTGATTGAGAGTAAACTTACAACTGCATAACTCATTCACATTCAGAATATCACTACAAAAATAGAATTTTTATGAAAAAGATCAGTCATGGGCCAGGGATTTAGCTCAGTGGCTCCGAGCCTGCCTCACAAGCACAAGGTCCTGAATTCGGTTTGTTCACTAAACTCTATTTAGTCTATTTAGTAGGATATTGAATTTTGTATTAAAAACCTACTGGCAGTTAGAGCTTTTCAGTAACAATTTCAATAAGAATATTCAGAATGGGTAAAAATAAGTGACCCTGAGTTAGAGAAAGCAGATCCAGAAGACGACTGGAAGATTTGGGATAAACCACAGGCTGAAGAGAGGACACAAGGAGAGCAGTTGCGAGACTGTGGGGCTGGGGCTGGGGCTGGGGCTGGTGTCAGTCTCTCTCCACGTGATGGTCCCACTCATCCAGGGTCAGCTGCAGCCCTACCAGAAAGCCAGCATCTTCCCAGCTGCCCTAAGGAACTGGTTTTCAGCCAGTGAGTGCTGAGCAGGGCCTGAAGCCAGATCTGCCCTCCAGTGCTGGGCCATTTACTCTCCTTGGGGACTTGCCCAGCCATCTGATTACCTCTCACGATCATACCTGCTGTTCTGGCCACCTGGTCTCGGGCTTCCTCTCCTCTAGGCCTCTCTGGCATCCTGAGGCTCCTGCTGTGAGAGCTGAGTCTGTTCTATAGCCGCGACATGAGTGGAGAGTCTCCTGTACGACCTGCTGCGCTCCCCGTGGCTGCAGGCTCTGCTGAAGGTGAGCAAGGCGCCATGGCTTGGGCTTTGCCTCTTGTGGCGAGGACAGCTGTCCTGCTCCATTCTGGCTGCTGTGGCAGTGCCACAAACTGAGCAGGTTGTGAGCATCAGAAATGTTCTCCCCGTGGCCTGGAGGCTGAAAGCCCAGGGTGGGCACTGGCTGTGTGGGTGTCTGTTGAAGGCTCATGCTGCGGTTTCCTGGCCCATACGTGGGAAGGGGTGAGTGTTCCTCCCCACTAGGCAACCTCCTCCTTCCCACGTCCCCACTTCCTAGAGCCACCCTGGGGATGAGGATCTCAGCAGAGGAATTTCGTGGGACAGAAACATTCAGACCAGAGGAGCTGCTTCCCCACGGCTTCCCCTGTCACTCACGGGGATTTCTGTGTGGTCCTCAGAGGAAAGTGGCCAGTTTTTAGCTCAGGAAGGAAGGAGTTAGGTGGAAAGAATGCTGCTGCTGTTTTCTGCACCAATCTTGAAGGCCCCTGGGGTCACAAAGCAGGCACCGCAGTGGCCACTAGCAGCACCTTATCAGCTATTCCCCTCCTTTGTTCTTGAGCCCAAGTCTAGACAAATAAGGTGCTTTTAAAAATTGTTCCTCTTGGGCTAGGGATTTAGCTCAGTGGTGCCACCACATGCTTCACAAGCTCAAGGTCCCGAGCTCAATCCCCAGTACCCCCACCAAAAAATAAATTGTTCCTCTTTTTATTCTTTAAAGTTTTTTTTCAGTGGGGGGGGGGATGAGATAGGATCTTGCTATGCAGTCCAGGCTGGCCTCAAACTCACTCAACTATTCTTCTTTTTAAGGTCAGGAAATGAGACATCTATAATTCTTTGGGTGTATCTTACCCTGAAGATTTCTTCTTTTCAAATTTGGCTAAAATACCATCATTACACAATGGCAGATGTTACTACTATAATTTTGTTGCTCTGAATAAATATTACTAAGAAAGATCCACTTGAAGTTACCTTGAATACAGTGTTTCACTTAAGGGTGAAATATGCTCAGTCTTACGATGCATGTTAATATTATATTCATTAAAATTAAACTGCCAACATCTTTCCCATGAATGAAGAAGTTCTGACATCACTTATTTTATTTTGCTCTTTAGGACAGGGTCTCACTATATAGTTTACACTGGCCTTGAACTCACTGTGTAGCCCAGGCTGGCCTCAAATTTATGACAATCTGCCTGTCTCAGCCTCCTGAGCTCTGGGGTTACAGGCCTGACTGACCACCTGTTTTAAAATTCTTGACTTCAATTAGGCCTTTTCCCAGGGGTCAGCTAAGACAGGGACTTTAATTTCGTTATGGGTATTGCCTGCCCTGAGAGGGGAGAGGGCCAGTAAGGCAGGGCTGGTAAAAGAATTTACCAAGAGACAAGGAATGTAGCAAAGACAAGAGTATATTTGGGCCAGGTGCACTGCCAAGGGGCCGTGCAGTCAGGCTGAGACTGGGGTTCTTATAGGGCCTGGCAGCGGGTCTGGGGCAGCAGGAGGCATTAACGAAATTCTTTTCTCCTTTAGCAGCCTGCAAGCCTTCTGGAGCACTTGCACTGTTTAGGATGATGTTTATGGTTGTGCTTCCAGCAGGACAGTGTACCAGAAAGGCCTTGAGCTGTAGATAAGGTGATAAGAGGTCTGCGTGTCTTTTTGAGAAGACAGGAGGAAGAGATGGGCCTTCGTCCAAGAGTTTGCTGCTCTGCCACCAACTGAGAACTGCACATCTGTTACCACTGGGAAGGGTGTCAACCCCTTTGTGGCCAGTGGGCAGCTGCTGTTGCCCTGTGAGCCTTGAGCACTTTCAGGTAAACTTGAGTGCTGGTGGCTAGTAGAGCTGGAAGCAGCAGCATCACAGAACTGGATGGAAAAGGCTGGGCTGAGCTGGCCCCATGGACCTTATTTCTTCATCTGGAAGAGGCTTAATTCCTGAAATATGAGGCTTGGTGTAGTGGTGCATGGCTGTAATTCCAGCATTTGGGAGGCTGAGGCAGGAGGATCACTGATTTCGATGCCAGCCTGGGCTACATAGTGAGACCCTATCTCAAAACAAAACAAAAGATTAAGGTCTGCACTGCAGAGCTAGGCTTTGATGTACTTAGCCCAACCCTAGATCGTGGCACAGGAACAATTCCTAAGAATCAGCGGAGGCAAAGTTGGAATTTTTTCAAATGAATTTGTTCTGGAGAATTGGAGGAATGAGAAACCACCCAAAGGTCAGAGCAGAAGACAGATAAGCATCCCCAGCACACCTGGCCTCTTATTCAGGTCCTTTTTGGTCCTGAGCCACACAGCCCATGCTCTGCTCTGTTTCTAGGCCTCCCAGGACTATAGACCACAGAACCCTCCTCGAGATGTGTGCATCTTCCACACCTCCCTGTTGCTCTCAGCCCTAGAAACTATATCTTTACTTGGTTTAAGAAGAGTAAGTTTGAATTTCTTCCCAGTGAAATTGTCCAGAGGTGAAATTGTCCAATTTCCTACTGGCAGCCAATACTCACGTCTCTGAAGACCAAACTGGAATTCATTCCTCCTCAGCCTCTAAAGACACACACCGTACTAAAGGCCAACAGTGCCATGTTGTAGTGTTGGCAGCTGCCCAGGCTGCCTCTTCCCTCTGGGAGCCTTAATCCAGAATGTCAGTAGGCACATTACCAACGTCAGTTCTCCCACCCTTCTTCTGCTGCAGGTCTACGGCTGCCTCCAGGAATTTAGAGAAAAGAAACCAGTTCCTACCACACTCTGTGCACAGCAGTTATCCTGGGAGGTGGGTGATTCTACTCCACACAGCAGTGGAGCTCCGATGGACACCACATTACCTGCAGTGCTTGCTGAAGTCACCTATAACACTGTGGTGGAAGTTTGGCGATTATGCTTGTTAAGTTTTTAAGTTCAGCTTTAATGTAAAGAAGAAAACTGTTTGGCTGTCTCCCTGGGTTAACACCCCCCACACTCTCACATAGTTTTAGCGTGTGTCCATTTCTCTCTTGTCCCCCGACCTTTATACTCAGTTCACCCTGTGTAAACAGGATAACAGCACAGATAATAGTGATTCTGCAGTCTTTATCTCTAGTCTGAAACTCTTCCCTGAGTTCCAGTCTCCACTGCCCAGCTGCCTCTGCCGTACCTTAGCGGGATACTTCAAGGACCCTTCAGACTTTCCCTGCCCCAAGCTGGCCTGCCAGTGCCCCAAGCCTGCTCTTCTCACAGCCTTTCCCTGCAGCACTTGTTCCTCCTCCCTTTACTGTTTTAACCAAAAAGAAGAACTTAGGAGAGCCCCAACCCAAGTCAGGAAAGAGGGTCCTCAGGAAAGGGGCCCCACAACCAAGCTTTCTTGTTTCTCTGGTCACACCTATACCCCGCTGCTGCAGCTTACCACTCCCCTCTAGCAGCCCTCCGTGGATGACCCTGGCCACCAGGATGTCCTGTCATCTCGTGGCGCTTGATGGTAGCTCCCTGGAGAGAGAACACAATGGGGTCCCGGACAGAACACTCATGTCCACCACCTGGGAGGGACCTCCCCGCTCCCTGTGCTTCTCAGCCACACCTCAGAGAGGAGAGGCCCTTTGACCTAGGCCTCTTGAGCTTCTGGTGACCTCACAGAAACATGTATTCACACGCTCCCAAAGGCAAAGAGGCCTCCCAAATTACATCCCAGCTTGTAGGACCACTCTAGAAAACCAAACTGATGCCTTACTTAGCTTCCCATCAATAAAAGAGAAAAATTTCAGCAAAACTGAATGAAATAAATACAAATGGCAAAAAGCCAAATAATAAAATAAAAATACATATGTCTTATTTTTCACAAAAATAAATCTTGTGTTAATTTTCAGAAAGCCACTAGGAAGAAATGTTTCCACAATGAAGCTACAGGAGAAAGTCACGGTTTACTGTACCTTTATTACCACTCTGTGTGTGACCAGAGACAGGATTCTGCCAAGTTACTTCCAGATCTGACTTAGTTTGTAATTAACTCTGGTAAAATTCTTCATGAGACATAAAAGGACTTCCTTACCAAGGGCTGTTGGTTTTTAACCAAACGAACAACCCGCATGGCTTCCTCATTCTCAGGGAGACTGTCTGGAAGTGGCAGGAGGAGGGGCTCAAAGTCTTTTTGCACCACCATGTCCTGAGCTCCAAACAAGGCCTGGGGACAGAGAGGAAGGCGGAACCCTTAGGAAACAACGACTCAACCCAACAACAACAACACTCAAGGCGGGTGCAGAGCTGAGAACTGTGCGTGGGTTAATTCAATCTCCACAATAACTCTGTCAGGGAGGCACATTCATTGCTTCACTTCACAGAAAAAGAAACAAGGCTCAGAAGTTAAGCAATGTATAATTGTCCCTTTCATCTCTGCTAACCTGTGTTATTCCATGATGTTCTCATTTCCTGGAAGCCTATATTATTCATGATGCTCAGATGGACTTTGAACTACAAAACATTTATAAAATTTTCTCTACTTTAGGCAGAATAAGGGGCATTAGTCAAAACATCTCTGGCTGGGGATTTAGTTCAGTGGCGCTGTGCCTGCCTTGAAAGCACAAGGTCCTGAGTTTGATCCCTGGTACCGCAAAAAAAAAAAAAAAAAAAACCAAACAAACAAACAAAAACATCTCACTGGTTTAATTTGTCGGCAACATGTTTTCTTTCCTTTCTCTCACCCACAAGTTTCATTTCAACTGCATTTATGCTCCCCACCACACCACGTGCGGTGCCGCTGACAGCTTCTGCTCCAGACGCCATCTTGCTTCCTTTCCTGCCGCATCTTCCTTCACCTCCCTGGCCTGTCGCATATTTCTCAAGGCTCAGCCTTTTGTGAGACTGCATAACCTTTGTTCCTTTTCTCCAGCCCCATTGTGATTAAATGTGAGTTAATGGATAAAGATGCTTGTTAGTTTTGGGACACTAGATAAAAATCTGTAACAGACCTAAAGTCCCAAAGTAAACTACTCAACTCCTTGTTTGCCCGGAACTCATGTTCCGGACATCACAATCTATAAAACAAGCTGCAAATGTCTGCTGACCATCAATACGTGACAGTCGACCACTAACCTTTGTCCCCTTTTCTTTAATTCTATATGTTAACTTCCCCCTCAACCCCCTGTAAGAACAGCCTCGGACTCTGAGCCAGTTGCCTCTCTAAGCTATTTTGCTTTGGGAGTGCCGTCTGGCCAGACTAATAATGGTCTGTTTTACTTTCCAACTTGTCCGGTGTGTTCCTTCCCGGGTGTTCTTCGCTGCAGTCAGCTCCTCGGAGCGTTTGGTAAGGCCCTCGGTCTTACACTTTTTCCTAAAGGATCCTGACCTTCATGCGTGTTTACAGGGTACAGCGTGATCACTGACACATGTGTGCAGTATAGAACGATCAGATTTATTTTTAATTGTAATCTCCTCCTTAAACTCTTATGATCTCTTAAAGCTGAGAAACTCTGAACTCCTTTCTTGAGTTATTTATACAATATATATTAAATTACTGTAAATTATAGTCATCCCGCTGTGCTGTAGAAGACCAGGAAAACGCAAATGCGCATGTGCTGGTGACCCTAAGTCACGCTCCAGATCTCTGCAGCTCGTGTGCACTGTGCCGGGCCCGATGCAAGGCTGCGCGGCTTGCACTCAAACCTCCTTGGGGTTCTGTCAACTTCTCCCGACGGCGGCGGTTGGGGAAGATCCACGACGGTCACGGTCCGGAGCTGCTGCCCACCTCAGCTGAGCGGGGTGAGGCCAGACAGGCAGGGTCTGCGGGCACCCGCGGGGGGAGGCGATCCCTGGAAAAGGAGTGGGACAGGCAGGGGCAGGCACGCGGGGAGGAGGGGACCCGAGCATTCAGACACCAGCGGCGGACGGACAGGTGGCGGCCTGCCTTCCTTGATTCTTACTTCTCCAAATCAGGACATTTTCCTTGATTTTTGCACTGAGAACAGATAATGACAACCACAGAGACATTTTTGTAATTCCTTCTCAGTGGCAGTGTTTTCTTGTATCTTTTAGTTGTGAGCTCAGAACTCAGATGACTGGGCCAGAGTGGTGATGCTGCTTCAACTCTTTCTAACCTAGTATCGTGTCAGAAGCATTTTCATGGCATAATCTTCATAGTGATTTTAGTTATTTCACCTGTTTTGGAAAAGTTTTTAAACAAATCTGATCTAGAATTCTTTTTGTTGTTGTTGTTACCGGGGATTGAACTCAGGACCTTCCACTTATGAGGCAGGCGGCCACCAGGCCACTGAGTTAAATCCCCAGCCCTGATCTAAAATTCTTTAACTCACTTTTCTGTTTTATTTATGAAAGATTTAACAGAGAGGCTGAGTAGAGTTTCTGATCAGATGGAGTGTGACCCCTGGTTGAGGTGCACTTGCCCGTTAGTCTGTGTGGAACTGATGTTAGATGTTTCGCAAGTCTTCACAGAATGTGCATCCTCACACATCCTCGAGTCCAGAACTGCGGCTGAGCCACCCATGCTCATGTGAATGGCCCCTCACTGGGGATGTTTCTGACGGAATGTGTTCACTTTCTAAACTACCAGCTGTTCCTTTTTAACTCTTGAGATGACGCTGCCACACATCTCTCTGCATCTTTCCACTCTGCTTAAGTCTTACCAGACGGGAAAATAGTCCTGGGGACAAGCTACTAAGACAAGAGGTAGAGAAAATTTTACTGATAAAGACTTTTGGAAAACTGGGGATGCAGCTTAGTCCTAGAGCCCTTGCCTATCAGTGTGTGCAAGGCCCTGGCTTCGATCCCCACACTGAAAAAAAAGTCTTTTAAAACTTCCAGGGCTAGGTTAGTTAGCAGATGATTACTAAAAAGTTACGTACTGAAGATGCACTTACTGTCATCCCTGTTTCTTTTTTACTTCCTCCCTCCCCCTCTTCCTTTCATTTGGGATCTGAGTTCCTAAACAATGCTAAGCCAAATGCATTAATTCAGAAATGAGAAAAATACAGCCCTAGCAGAGCTTACTGGGGCGGACATAGTAGGGTTTGCCAGGCTTACAACATATTCCTTTCTATGGGTAGTCACTGATCATCTTGTTACTAATCTCCCCTGATTCTGCAATGTTAATTACAATAACATCAGCACTTTGCTTTTCTGGTTGTGAGTTAATCTGGGAAATGAAAGCATGTGTTCTTTTTTGTTGTTGTTTCCTGCTTTGACCATTTGTCTGTACCCAGCGATTTCTATGGAAGAAGGTAAGAACATTTTTAGAAAACAAAACAAAACAAAAAACCCTTATCTCTGAAGCCTCCTAGAAATTTCCTCTAGCTTTAAAAATTCAACTCCGTTCACCTATTTATTAAGCTCTTTCTGTGTAACACATAGTGCAGTAGCACAGAATGTAATTATCCCAACAGTGTGCAAAATCAAGGAAAGACAGGTGACATTTGCACGCAGCTCTCGAGTCTAACACAGCCATGGTGCAAATTCAGAGATCTGTGAAGCCCATTGGGTGTTTTGTGTTAACTGCTTTATACACATCTTATAAAAATACCACTGTAAGGAAGTCATTATTATTGTTCCCTTATGGAGGAGAAGACTGAGGTGCAGGAAAGGTAGACATGGATCTCAGAAGTTGCAGACAAGGTAGTCTGGATTAACTATTCTACATGAAGTAGCAATGTGGTCCAATAGTGTTATTTCTTAAAACTTAGCATTTTTTACATCTCCTCTAAAAACATTAATGGCCAGATGTGGTGGTACACACCTGTGATCCCAGCACTCAGGAGGCTGAGGCAGGAGGATTCAATGCATAGTGCCATGAAAAAGCGAAGATGAAAGAGGGAAAAAAAGGAAAAAAAGAAAAGAGAAAAAGACACATTAGGATATTCTGACCAGCCTGTAACCCTTGCTACTCAGAAAACCAAGGGAGGCGTTACATGCTGAGAGCTGTAGGTCAGCCGTGCAGTATCTGCGGTGTGAGGGAAGGAAGTGGCTCTTCCAGGAGGCTCCAGCCACATGGGTGTGGTGAGCGTCAGGAGGCATTCTCTTATTTGCTTGCATGCACCTCAGCTTGGGAAATCAGCTGGCGTTTATTAAGCACTTACGTGTGCCTGGGCAAAGCTTGACCTCTGTGGCAGGACTGAGCCTGTCCACACTTACGGATGGACCCCAGAGGCCCACAGGTACCCAGTATGTCCTGTTCTGTCGCCTCCAGGCCACACATTTTCATCTGTTTTCATCTAATTCAGCAGCACACACCTCATTACACCAAGAAAGCGCCAGTTCTGAGAGCACTGCTGCAGGGTGGTCTGAATGGGATTGACGTCCGCCTCTGCACAGGGAGTTTTGCTTTCAGTGCTGACACAGTTGAAGTTCTAATTCCCCTTTCCTGTGCTGTTCTGTAGACAGTGACCTGAAGATTGACAAGAAGTGTGTGGAAGCAGGTACCCTTTCCTCTTGATTGCTGCATCCCCAGGAGAAATGCAAAGCGCCTCAGTTCTGAGAGGGACCGATGAATGCCCCACACACCCATTTCCTGGGGCTTTGTGCAGCTTTGGGAAAACCCCGGGCAGCCCCACCCTGCAGAGCACTCCAGAGGCCGTGGGGCACTCACTGGTGGCACCCAGTGTGTGGAGAGCGAAAGGTTGAAATAACCTTCAGAGACCTCTGAGTCTCTTGAGAAAATAATGAATCCTGGATATGCAGCTGGCACAAAAACAAGGATGGTTACTTGTAACGAGAGTGGTTAAATAGAAAGAGTTCGAATGTCTGTAATGCAAGGGAATG